TGTGTGTGTGTGTGTGTGTGTGTGTGTGTGTGTAGACATTTCAATAATGCCCTTATTTGTCAAGCCCTTGGCGTTGAGACTCGAGTTTGCAGAAATGCAGCCTTTCTATATACAGCGGTATTTGGTAGCAGGAACATTCTCTCCTCCTCAGCAAAGTTGTTAATTCTCTTTTCTCCTCATGCAGAGATGTTGCACAGAAATTCCCTTCACCAAGGACATCCAACAGAGGTACCCGCATGGGAAAGTAGGCAGGACACTAGGGAGAGGAAATATAGGTGCCGTACAGGAGAAACTAGAGAGAAATGACCTTTTCCTTTCGAAGGGCTCCGTGTGCTCTATGCTCTTAAAGATCCAAAGGGAGAGGCACTAGCTTTCCCTTTGATCCAGAGTACAGTCACGTGCCACAGCATGTCCAGTAGCATAACGTCCAACTGCGTGTATGTTATCGATCCCAAGACTCCTTACACTCTATCACATTGAAAAATTTGAGGTACCTACAAGGTTCCATAATAACAAATAGGGACTACTTCATCACTCACATAAAATGCTTTTATTAGTACTAGTGTATTATAATTTTAAAGATGTCTTAATGTATCTGGAAGTACTCTTTAGTGTTTTTATGCATAAAATTGTACATTAGTTGAGTAAAATATATACTAAGACAAACATACCACTAACTGACATTAGATCCAAACAACACCTAATTGGTGCAACTTACGAACAAATTTGACATAAGGAAAGACTCAGGAATGAGCTCGTTTGTAATCCCAGCACTGCCGACAGACAATATGGTGTTCTCACCATGTCCAAGTCACCCTGTGTCACAGAATGCCTCATGGATGTTAAGCGATGCCTGACTCTGGTTGTCTAGAAAAAAGTGTGCTTTAGGTTTTAACTTATTAATTAAGTCATGTATTTAATAAATATGTATTATGGTATAAAAGATGCAGTTCTAGATGACAGAGAAGTGGGCCCAGCAGTAAGACACCAAAGTGCCCCTAAGAGCTTCCATTTCATGTCTGTGTTAAGATATATCCAGAGAGAGCAAGAAGATCTGAAATCGTGGGACGGCATATCAAGGTGGATATAGAGACAGGCCGTCAGACACCTCAATAGATAGGAGCCTACGTGTCACTGTCGGGTTAGCATTGAACTGCTAACCACAAAGTTTTCAATTCAAATCTTCCAGCTACTCCATGGTGGAAAGATGAGGTTATCCAGTGCCCTAAAGATTTATAAGGTTTCTCTAGAGGGGTTCTATGAGTTTGAATCAATTCAAGGACAGTGGTTACAGGAGCTTTGGTAGAGACATAAGTTGCTTGTTGGGCAGCTAGCCATAAGGTCAGCAGTTCAGACCCACCAAGCCACTCCTCAGGAGAAGGATGACGTTTTCTGCTCCTGTAACCCCTCCAAGGAGCAGTTCTACTCTGTATATAGGGTCACTGTGAGTCAGAATTGGCTCAATGGCAGTGAGTTTGGTTTAGACAAATATGTATATATGGATAGAGAGATATCACTTACAACCTTGACAATTAGGAAGTGCTTCATGGAGGGGGGGATCATTTGAGCTGATGGTTGTAATTTTTATAAGAAAAAGAAATTGGCAGCAATCATTGTGCCAGCAATGGAGTCTGTGAACAAAGGCGCTTGGGTGGAGAGGTGGTCGGCGTGCGTGGGTATGGAAATGAAAGCAGTTTGTGTAGCTGGTGTATTGGATGTGCTGAGTGGAGCAAAAATGATGAAAATGAAGACGATGGCTTGTTGTAGATGGTAAGATAGAGGATTTCAATATAAGTTGTATCTCATGTTTAGTTTTATATCCCTGCCTATTTTAGGCAAGACTGCCCAAAGAAAGAGTATATGATGATGCTCTGCAACCCTTTTTTTTTTGAAACATACATAGCCAGTGTCCTCAGAGAGCTGTCCATTGTATCACTCAATAATTGTATTATAAATGTTTAATATTAGGTGGTGCAGCAGTTACGTGCTCAGCTGCTAACCAAAAGGCTGGTGGTTTGAAACCACACAGCCACTCCAGGGGAAATGTGACAACCCATTGCTCTTTAAAGATTACAGGCAAAGAAACCCCATACTGCAGTGTTCCTTGGTCACACGGGCTCAGTGGGAGTTGGAATAGACTCATGGCTTCTCACGACGACAACGACAGACAATATTGTAAACTGACTACACAAGGTGGCAGAAGAGGGAGTCTCAGCAACAGCGTTCGATTGCCCTCCAGATGCCCTGGGCGTTTGTGTGGGCTGTGCTTTCCGACAAGTAGGGAGAAAGATGGCTCTCTGCTCCTGCACAGACGTCCAGGCTTGGAAAGCCACAGGGGCAGTTCTTCTCTTTCCTCCAGGGTTGATTTGTCAGAATCAGCGCCAGGGAAGTGAGGTTCTTGGTTTGTTTTGATTTATTTTTGTTTGCGGTGGTGGTTTCCATCAGTAACTTCTCCGAGATTTACTTTATTTTCCTTGTTAAATGGTGAGGCATTGAGCATAATTGATAGCCAAAGACCCTTCCCACTCAGAATTTTTTTTCTGTTTTCTTTTTAAATATTTTTACTGGGGCTCTTACATCTCATCACAATCCATACATTCCTCCAATGTGTCAGGCACATTTGCACATATGCCGCCATCATCACTTTCAAAGCATTCTCTTCCCACTTGAGCCCCTGATATCAGCTCCCCACTTCTTCCCCTCCCTCCCCCACCTGCCTTCCCTCACGAACCCTTGATAAGCTATAGATTATTTTTTCCATATCTTACATCGTCCTCCATCGCCCCTCACCCACTTTTCTGTTATTCATCCCCCTGGGAGGGGGTTCTAGATTGATCCTTGTGATCAATTCCCCCTTTCTGCCCAGGGTTTTTTTTTTTAATTCAGTGAGAAATTAATCATTCAAATGAACTATGCAATGAACTGGCTATTTTCAGTATGCTTACAATTTAAGTAAATCGTGTTCTACTGAAAAATGTTAAGCATGGGGGAAAAAAAGTACCTGAGGCAAGAAAAACAGAGATAAAACTTTTATCTTTGCTGTTTACTGTCGGCAGATTGAAGAGCTGACCAGTAACCTGCCACAGCTGCAGTCTCTGTCCAGTAGCACGTCTTCGGTGGACAGCACGCTCAGTGCGGAGACCGGCAGCCCTCCCAGCAAACGGAAAGTGGCCACCAAGATCCAGGGCAACGCTAAGAAGGCCTTGCTAAAGTGGGTTCAGTACACAGTAACCAAGTAAGTACCAAGAGTGAGTTCAAAACCCTTAAATTACTTGTGTTCTCTGTTTCTTACTGGAGGCGTTTTGCAAGGACTGCAACATTTGAAGAGACAAATGAAGGATGACCTGGCTGTAGTTTTCATTACACTCCTTCTGCGAACTTGAAGGTTCACATTCATCACCACTAATAGACTGGGGAAACGCTGTAATAAAATGAACTCCCTTCCTCATTCTTCATTCATGGGATTGGGCTTGATCCATGAAGCCGATGTATCCTCACACTTTGATTGGTAGCAGGAGGGCTGGATCTATTTAGGGCCTTGGTTGGAGTTGTTTCTGTTGAATGGTCTTTTCAGAAATAAACTTGAGGCTCAAACCTCATGAATTTTTCTTCATAAGAACCCCTGGGTTCTATCTAATAGTATGTGAACAGGATTCACATACTAAAATAATTATATTGGGTCTCCTTTCCAGAAGCATTTCTGGAAATTTAATTTTTGTTTTTTCCATTTGTTCAACATTTACCTGGACTACAGGCTCCTTTGTGCTTTCCACCTCTGAGTCAAGAATGTGCTCCTAGTTTTCAGCTTCCTACCAAGCATAATGAAACACATGTGTCTATACATGTGTGGTATGATGCTGGGTAGAAAATTACTACTCCAGAATAGTATCTTCTCGTGGCTATTTTAGGGCGGGGTTCAGTTGAGTTTACCTGTGTTTTGGGGTCAGTGGTAATGCGGCTTCTCACAGAAGCCTTGTTTGTTGTTTGATGTTTTCCGGAACAACATGTAAAATGACTCACTTCCTCTCCTGTTTTGCCGCCTAGATCTGCATTTGATTCTCTGTTACTGGCAAACAGTTGTAAACATGTCCTTATCATATTAAAATCTTGAGGTGCCAAAAATAGAGAGGTCTATTTTTAAAGCCTTTGAATAGCAAAAATAAGTAGAGAAAAAGATCAGCACAGAGAAGATATAATTAGTGTTACTAATCTGTGGGTTTTATTGAGCTTCTAAAGCGTGCCTGTGGTTCTCTAATTTGGGGTGTAGTTTGATGCTACAAAGTACAGTCATGGATGTATTTGAAACTAAAGCTTTTCTGCCCTTTATATTATGGTAGGCATGAATATTCCTGTGACATTCCTACTATGTGTGACTGAATACACCAATAGTAAGAATGAATATATCCACATTGCTGGTATATTGTTTGCATTCTATCGACTGAGGCACGACTGGTCCCTATTGCCACTGAGCTAGACAGTATGAGGAACAGGGCTTGCTAAGGGGAACTGGTTAGCACACGGTATGAACTGTATCATGATGCTGTGGCAATCAAACTTGGTCAAAGTGTTGATGTGGTGACTATTCTAGGATTCATTGCTTCACATACCATTGTCAGTGTTAACTTGATATGTATTTAGTAAGAGACAGAAAGGAGCATTGGTTCAGTGGTAAAATTCTCATTTTCCATGTAGAAGAACTGGGTTGATTCTCAGCTCATACATTTCAAGCGCAGTCACCACTGTCTATCAGGGGAGGCTTGCAGGTGGCTGTGTTGGTGAAGAGGAACCCTGGGGGCAGAGTGGATTATCGTTTAGGCTGCAAACCACACAGTTAGCAGGTCAAACAATTTGCAGAAACATCAGGAGAGTTCATATCTCTTTCTCTCTCTCTCCATATATATACACATATATATGCATACATATGTATTTTAACCAGTTTCACTTATTATCAAGAAGACTTTCAGAATCTTTATCATTAAGTTGTGTTGTACTGCTGATATTTGCATATTTTATTGGCAACAGTCTAGGAAGAACAATTATATTTCAGAATACAAATGAATGCGATTTTGTACCCTTATATAGAACTGTTATTCATGGGCATATGCACACACACACACACACACACACACACACAAGCACATTTTTGTTGTGGTTTGGCACCACCAAGTCCATTTTGACTCATAAAGGTCCCCAGGGTTTTCTGCAGATGGACAGGTCTTTCTCCTTCAGAGCACCTGAGCAGGTTTAAACCACTGACCTTTCAGCTAGCCGCTGAGCACTTAGGCATTGTAGCATCAAACTCATTCCAAATAACTTGAAGCAAACATGTAATGAGCTTGAGAAATGCCTTTAATTCAGACATACCTCATTGGTTCTCTAAGTTTGTCTCTGAGAATCTTAAATATAATGTTAGGACTAAAACATTTTGCAACTATTTACTACTACTTTGATCTAATTAGAAGCAGTATTAGATCCTGAACAAAGATAGAAAGCACAAATATGCTAGCAGGGAAATTTACTGCCATATATTAAATTATTCCAACAAAGCAAACATTTAGAGGAACATTGCATGCATTTCTTTCTGATATGACTATAATAATATTCAAATTCAAAGAAATCAGAAATAAGATACGGAGAATAGTATTTCACTTATTGTTTACTGATTTGCACCTCACATTATGCTGTTAAAAAATTTAAGAAGCTATAAGAAACATAACACGCATCGTTCTTTTTTTTTTAACACGCATCTTTCAATGAACAAATGTGGGAAAATACAGGTTGAAGACTAGCTGGATGTATAAAAGTATAAGTAACCAAGAGACACTTCCTGGCCACTGTACCTGGAGGTTTGTCCACCTGTCAGACGATTGCTGAAAATAATTGCATGTACACCAACAGAGACAGAAACACTGTCAGAATTAAGACAAGATTCAAATTCAGTTTATAATGATTGTACCTTGTCAGGTAAAACATGGCATTCTGAAGCCAGTGATCAGGTACAAAGAAGCAGCTTTCTCACACAATATATTTTACAATAATAGAATGTGCATGACTTAAAGTGGACCTGAGAGTTACTGAGATAGCACTGGAAGACATTTATCAATTTGTGATATTATTGAAGAGTCTAGCCTGGTGATTGTTTAAAGCAAACCCTTCTAAAAGGATGATTTTATCCATTGACTCTTAGCTAATGCAGTGATCACCTCGAAAAACACTACAGTGAACCAAGGGCTGCGCTGGCCTGGAGGTGTCAGCAGTCTTCAGAGTTGATCAGCTGGAGAGAAAATAATTTCCTCGTGAGGTTGCCTCACCCTGTTCTCCATGCCCACAGACTATTTCTTGACTCACTTTCTTAATTATTATAACTGGCTTTGAGTTGGTCAGATATTCCAAAAGCCAAATAGATCATGCACACCAAACACACCGGAAGACACCAGGACACTGTCTCGAAGGCGATTTCAAAAGAAGAATTGGAAAAACAATTTGATTCGTGAGATGGACTCCTTGTCTGGATTTATATGAAATATGGGGTCCATTAGTAACCACTTTATACTCACTGCCACCGAGTCGATTCTGACTCATAGGGACCCTGTAGGGGAGGATAGAACTGGACTGGTGATTTCATTGTGCTGATCTTGAGGTTAGCCACCCAACATGTAACCACTGTGTCACCACCACTCCCTTGGTGACCACTTAGAGAGTGGGTAACATTCACTTGCAAATGGGTGCTTTATGGAGCACCACTGGGTAGGTTCAGTTTGCCCAACTTTGGGCCAGTATTCAAGTGCCTAGTGATTTGTTTCTGTGACTAAGTGACCTGCTTCTGATGGGTCACAACCCTACAAGCTCTATAAAGCTGCACTATAGTTGATCAAGGGGTACTTCATGGGTAAATTGGTCACCATGTGTCAGAATCCACAGCAATGACAACACTTTAGTCTGTTATAACCCATGGTTGTACAACAGTGTGATGCTTACATTGAGGACGGTGTTAAGAGATGTCTTC